GAATGTTAAAGGCTCTGAAAACAGCTTATCAGAATCCTTGAAGGCTGATTCAATTTGGAGTGTGGGTGTAGGAGGAGGAATCAATGATTTAAATTTTAACACTGGGTATCCAAGGAGACGGTGGTCCGTGGATAGGAATAAGAAGGTTGGGGGTGGGATGGGGGTCAGGCCTTTGGAGATCTCATTATTTTGGTTACTCAGCCACTGAACTTTCCCCCGTTTGGGGAAATCTGACATTCTATGAATTTTGGTGGCAGCTGAGACTTGGCTTCCACTACAGATGATTCAAAGGTCAGATATTGTCTCTGATTCTTATGAACTACACCATGTGACCTAAAGTCGGGCATTATCAGACTTCAAATCTGGAGCACTTGACACAAACCAGCAGGGACTGTTTGGGCTCTGTCCTCACCTCTGTGTCATGCGGTGCCTCATCCCGGGAGGGGCGGGGCTGCTAGTGCCGGAGTCCTTGCCTACGCTGCCTACCTTCCCTGGTTCCTAGCCATTTTCTCACGGTTCTCGGTTCTCGAGTCTTCCCCACAACGCTGTGGGTTGCCTGATCCCCTTTCAGTAAATTCCTTCGCTGCTTAAGTAGCCACAATTGGTTTCAATTTGTTGTAACTAACAACCCAGACCAACACAAGGCCCACCTGAATGGAGATGCTTCCGGAGACTTGAATTTCTTCGTTCATGTTTGAACTCAGTTGTGCCTTCTGTTTCCGGTGGGCAGAATCCTGAGTTAGGGAGATTTCCAGGTCTCCTGCTTCAGCTGCCCACCCAGTGCCCAGATCCTCTGTACGGCACCCGCGGGTACCACGGGTACAACTCCAGTGACCAGCAGCTCACTTCTTTGTTAGGTGATTGATTGGACTCCGTTGTTAGGAGGTTTTTGGTATCCGTCACTTCTAGTTCTTTTCAATGGAAAACTGTTCTATTTCATATCATATTTAAGCTTTTTTATGCCTTTTGAAAGTGAAATAAATGTACTAAGTAAAAATGACTTCAGTGTTCGACACTGACGTGTGAGGCCATGTGGGACATCTCAGGGACAGTGAGCCTGCAACCCAGGTGAGGGAGCAGCGATCTGTGAGTCACAGTAATGGTTGAGTCATGGCTTCTCTGGGGAAAAAAGCGATGCAAAACAACTTGCAGAACAATGCAAACTAAGCACTGAGGGGCCCATAAACATTTGGTCAGAAGTGGCGTCAGAGCAAGGGAGAGGGTGAGGGAGAGAAACAGAGCAAGTAAGAGAGATGAGACCAGGGTGAAGAACGGAGAAAAGCCAGGGATGAAATAAAAATCATCTGGCAAATGACCTGGCCTTGCCTGGCTGGTGTGGCTCAGTGGTTGAGCATCGACCCATGCACCAAGAGGTCGCTGGTTCAATTCCCGGTCAGGGCACGTGCCCAGGTTGTGGGCCTGATCCCCAGTAGGGGGCATGCAGGTGGTGGCCAATCGATGTTCTCTCTCATTGATGTTTCCATCTCTCTCTCTAAACAATAAAGAAAAAAAAAGACCTGGCCTTTTGGACAGACTTTTAAAAATGGCTTCATCAACATATGTATCAGGGCAGTCCTCAATCAGAAGCCACTGGGGGAGGGAGGGGACGTGTGCTCAGAAAGTGGTATGATTAGAGCCACCAGGGCGGAAGGGTGAGAGAGTATTAGGAAGACACGGGTGTTTGGCAGGGCCAAGGGTCTTTGGACGGCCAAGGAGAACAGGAGGCGAAAAGGCGGTGGAGTCTGGTAAAGCCGGGGCCTGGGGACAGGAGAATTGGATCTGTGTAGTGATCAGAGCTCCAGGGTGTAGGAGAGGGAGGTGTGACAGCAAGGGAGCTGGCGCGTGAACAGAGAGGAACACGAACAGCCAGATGAACGAAGATGGAGAAGGAGCCCCTGGAGAAGCAGGGTTAAGGGTGTGGGTGAGAGCGGTTTGGAGAGGGGAGGAGGGCTCAGCAGCCACTCGGATAAATATCTGAGGTGCAGAAAGGAGGCTGTGTGAGACAGGGCGGCGGGGAAGAGTATAGATAAAACACATGCTGAGGCAGCGAGTTGAGAGCGAGCACACAAAACAAGTATTATCTTCTCAATAATAAATGAACCTTAGAGGTCTTTAGGCTATCCAGAACACCTGAGTTAAATGTTCTTGGCTGACGCCGTGACTTCCCCTGGAAGGAAAGCCAGAAAAAACGCTGGCCCAACGCTGCAGAAGGTGGTGAGGGAGTTTTATAAAGAGAAGAAAGGGCAGAGTGATCTGAGACCTAGATTCACATCTAGGACTCAGGAGTCCTGGGTTCTGGCTCCAGCTCCTCTGGGGCTGTGCTAGTGGTGCGGCCTCGCCAGGCTCATGCAGCTGGGATTTCATGTCATTTTGGGAACAGAGAAGGTAATGTTACTTTTGTTAGCAGAGGCACCACTGGCCAGAAACTAAAAGAATGTAGTGTGTGTGTGGGGGTGTGTGTGTGGGGGGGATGTTAAGGTAATCAAATAATCCACAGTAATTTCCAATGGCCCTTGGAATGCATCATGACATTCTCTTTTGAAAAGGGATGAATTATGATCTGAGAATTTATTTCTCACCAAACCAGGAAACTTCGGGGAAAATTCAACTAAGAAGGGGTTTTCTGGCCCATTCTCTGTGAACTCGATGATTAGCTATCCAGGAATTTAGCAGCTGAAGAGGAGTTATCCAGAGATTGATTGATTGATTGATTGATCTTTATCCTTACTCGAGGACATTTTTCCATTTTTTTGTTTAGATAGAGCAAGAGGGAGAAAGAGGGAGAGAGAGAGAGAGAGAGAGAGAGAGAGAGAGAAAGAGAGAGAGAAGCATCAACATGAAAGGGACACATTGAGTGGCTGCCTCCTGTATGACCCAACCAGGGCCGGGGAAAAACTGCAACCGAGATACGTGCCCTTAGTGGGAACCAAACCCAGGTCTGTCTGGACCGCAGGTCGACACTCTAACTGCTGAGCCAAACTGGCCAGGGCCCAGGGCATTATTTAAAGAGAGTTAGGGGCAGGTGACAGTAGTATTAGTTTTCAAATTTTATTTTGGGTCTTTATGAGTAGCTAGTGTGATAAATATATGTATTTTCTTTTCTTCTTCTTTTTATCTTTAGAGTGGGAGGGAGGGAGAGAGAGAGAAACATCAATGTGTCTCTCTCACATTGACTGGTTGTCTCCTGCATGACCCCGACCAGGGCTGGGACCAAACGGAACTGCAACCGAGGTACGTGCCCTTGACCGGAATGGAACCTGGGACTCTCTGGTCCGAGGGCGGATGCTCCAACTGCTGAGCCAAACCTGCCAGGATTATATATATTTTTTCTAAAGTTTGCATTTCTCTCTCTGCGCTTTCTTGCGGCTTGAGTTGGTGTCTCTACTGAATGCAAACCAGAGTGATAAACCAGACGAAGTGGTGAGAGAGCCTGCTGCTGTTCAGACGTGGGGGTCTCCAGGACCTGGTGACTGGGCTGAAGTTTGTTTCTGGCCTACCAGGATCTAGATCTAAGGCAAAACGTGAGTTTACTCAAAAAAGTGTTAGATACCTGCCCAGCCGGTGTGGCTCCGTGGGTTGAGTGTCAATCCATGCACCAAGAGGTAGCCAGTTTGATTCCTGGTCAGGGCACATTCCTGGTCAGGGTTGCAGGGTCAGTCCCCAGTGTGTGTGTGTACAGGAGGCAGCTGATAGATGATGTTTCTCCCTCATCTATGTTTCTACCTCCTTCTCCCTTCCTCTCTCTCTAAAAACAAACGAACAAAAAGTCAATAAAAAATATTTAAAAAAATTGCTAGACACCTATGTGGGCTACATGGGATGACTTGCCTCTTAGAACTGAGGGCTAAACACACTTTCCCCTTTTTCTTCCCTCTTCAGTCTCAATTTTTTTTTTTTATCATCCTCACCCGAGGACATTTTTCCATTTTTTGTTCAGGTAGAGTGGGAGGGAGAGAGGGGAACAGAGAGAGAGAGAAACATCGACGTGAAAGGGACACATCGAGTGGTCGCCACCCGCACGACCAACCAGGGCCGGGGACAAACTGCAACCGAGGTACGCGCCCTTAGCGGGAACCGAACCCGGGTCTCTCCGGACCGCAGGCCGATGCTCTAACCGCTGAGCCAAACCGGCCAGGGCAATTTTTATCACATCTTTCTTCCGGGAGTCGTTAAAGAACTTCCATCCAGAAGGCTTTCCCAGAGCTCTGCTGCGCGGTCTGCCGGCGAGAAAGGAGCGGGGCAGTGGGAAACGCAGTTGAGAAGAGATCAGGCACAAGGAGCCGAGGGAGAGCAGACCGACCCTGAAGCGTGGAGTTGGGGCTGACATGGGTAAAAATCCCAATTCCCAGGTCCCACCTGGAGCAGGGCCTCGGACACTGTCAACGCGACGACTTAGGTGGGTAAACCAGTGTGACCCAGTGAGCTGGTTCTTATCGATGAGGGAGCTGAGGCTTACTGAGGGCAACCGCGTAGGACACATGGCGAATTCGGGGCGGGAATGGCCCAGAACCCAGGGTCCTGCCTCTGACCACGGCAGGCCTTCCCTTGAAGTGCGTCGTGTGACACCCTCGTTCCCTGTGGCCTGGTCTTAAAGAAACACTGATGTCCACATACTTGCCAGGGTAATCCCTGTCTTCTTTTTCCTTTGCCTCCTCCCGACTCAGCCCTGCTTTTTCTGGATGTCCTGGACTACCATGCACATCAACTTGTTTTTCTCAGTATCTGTGCAAGTCTAGAGACATGAAACTCAAAGATTGCCTCATCACAAGGCTGCCTTACCAGAGATCTGTATCTTGTTTATTTACTGAGAGGACAGATACATTTGAAATCCTCGCATCGCTCTGGAGTAGGTGGAGGGAGGAGGCTGCTGCTTCTCGGCAGCTGTGGCCAATGTCCCAGGTCCCAGGCCAGCTCAGGGCAGACAGTGAAATTCAGGTCTGTGGCAGGGGTGGAGCCAGACTCAGAACAGGACAGCACCTTCCCCTTCATCAGTCATCCAGTCGGGCCCTCCCAAGTGGTGGCCAGATTGCTTGAAAGAGACTCAAACAGAAGGCACTTTGCAAGCCTCTAACAGGCGTTTTACAGCAAGATATGACTCTCCTCCCCAGCGGAACTTTTGGGGCATCTTTGTAGGCAAGGAAGTGTGACTTTCATGGCAAGGAAGCAAGTTAACTTTATTTGGTGATTTACCTTTCTGTAACCAAGCACTATGCCTTGGCACGCTAAGGGACGGCTTCCCTGGCCTCACAGTCCAGAACCGTGTTTGCCTCCATTCTCGCCAGGGTGCGAGGGGTCCAAGTGTTCCCTGGGGTTGGTCCAATGTCAGGCAATGACCAACTCAGTTCAGTTTCTCTCCTCCCCGCTACCATTCTGGATATTCCTTCCATGGGGCTGAACGGACCGTGACCTCTGGGCATCGGTTGGCCCTGAGCCGGCCAGTTACTCGGTGCCAGGCCTTCCTGAAACCATTAAGGCAGCCTCGGTCTGATATTTTACATGGATCCCATTAGACTTGACATCATGGCCAAGGAAGTAGTTCATCTGGTACATGGAAGAGAAAATGACTCATCGCACGCACCTCCCAGGTATCCGACGCAAGGCTCTGCCCACTGGTGGAGAAGCAGAGACTGATGCTCTGGCGCACGTGCTGGGCGTCTTTGGAAGGAAGGAACACTAGGAGCTGAGGAAGGCTCTGGGGGTGAAGAGTGTATATCATGTTGAAAAGCAGACTGTTTCCTGGGTACGCATGTCGACGTGGGAGAAGCCCACACCACATGTGGATGGAGAGACGTGCCGACTCCAGACGCCCACACGCTGCGTAGGACCCAGCTGAGCATCCAGCACACAGCCTCTGCCTCTGCGGGGACAGTTCCCAGTGTGCCAGGGAGAGGAGGGCTGTCAACTGCCTTTGCCACTTGTTTCAAACTCACAAGCCATAGTCCACCCCAGAAAGCCCTGGAGTTTGGTGACGATTCGCAGGCATCTGTGAGCTGTGGTCCCCACAGGAAAGCTGTCATTAAAGCGGCAACAGAAGCGTCCCTTCCCAACTTCGAGGCTTGAACCTATGGCCCAGGATGCTTTTGATGGTTGTAAAACCAGAAGGAAAATGGGAAAGGTCCAATTGAAAAGCTCGAGTATGTTCTACTGAGTGCATGTGTGTGTGTGTGCGCGCGCCTTCCAGAGAGTGGGCTCCGAGAGAGACTTGCGCAGTTCATTCCAACATAAACAGGAACAAGAGGTAATGGCTTCATTCAGTAGAAAATTAGCAGCATCCTTTTGCATTCTCCGGGGTCCTCATCAGGCAGCCTCTCCCGTAGTGGGAGGGGTGTGCCTGGTCAGCACAGCTATAACTCGTCCATCATGGCCAGCAAACCATCCCCCTTGCTGGCGCTCCACCTTGGCTGGTCCGTGACTTCAAACTCCTCCATGATCCGAGCCAGCTCTTGGTTCCTTTGCTGGTCCTGTTAGAGCAAAGAGATGCAGTCGGTATTTGATTTTCATACCCCCACTGTGATGCATTTCAGCTCCTCACCTGTTTGTCAAATAGGGACCATATACATATTGATTAGCGAGGAGAAGGCAGGGCCCTTGAAGGTCAAAGTTATTACAAGATGAGGAGGGGAATAGGATTTGGCTTGTGGAATCCCCTGCACGCACCTGAATAGCTTGTATGTTGACAACTTCGTGGGATAACTCGTCTGGCCTGGTTAGCGCTGCTTGTCTGCATGAGATGGTAGAAATATGGGTCAAAGGTTAGAGTTTTCTCCCTGCCAATGTGGCAAATTGGCACTTGATAATTTAGCAACCTGTTTTTTCTGTCTCATTTCTGCCATTTCTCTTCAGCTTTGTACCCCCATGTCTAACCAATGCCCCCCACACTGCAGAGAGTCACATCCTTTTACGTCTCTGTGCCTTTGCACACATTAAACTCTGCCAAGAATGTTTTCCCCCTTCCTCTGCTTGGCAAACTCCAAGACCCAGCTCAGATGCCAGCTCTTTCAATCTGCCAGTGCAAGTAATCACTGTGTCCTTTATTAGCGCATTAATGACCTGACACTGAAATAACTTATGTTCATTCTCCTACTACGCGGGGAGCTCCTGAGGGCAGGCTCTAGGTCATATGCTCCATCTTTGTGTTCCCAGCACTTACCATAGTACCTGTCACACAGAGGTGCAAAGAGAAGTTAGTTCAATGGATAGGGAAATAGAAGGTGCCCCCCCCCCATATTTTGTTATGAAGATCACATGAGATAATAAATGCAAAAGTGCTCTGTAAACTATAAAGCACTATATAAATCTCAGTGAATTACTAATGCTATTGGTTTTGGGGGAGGCTGTCTAATCTCAAAGATATCATTTTTTGACCTCCCTCCTGTGGTTTCTTTTCTTTCTTTTTCATATGTTTTTACTGATTTTTTTTTTTAGAGAGAGAGGAAGGGAGAGAGAGATAGAAACATCGATGTGAGAGAGCAACATTGATCGACTGCCTCCTGCATGCCCCCACTGGGGATTGAGTCTGCAACCCTGGCATGTGCCCTGACCAGGAATTAAACTGGGACCTCTCAGTCCATGGGACAAGGCTCAATCCACAACGAATCCAGAAAGTCCGGACTATTTAACACTGGTGGATTCTTTTTTTTTATCCTCAGCCGAGGACATCTTTCCATTTTTTGTTCAGATAGAGTGGGAGGGGGAAAGAGAGAGAGAGAGAAACATCGACGTGAAAGGGACACATTGAATGGCTGCCACCCGGACGACCCAACCAGGGCCGGGGACAAACTACAACCGAGGCACGTGCCCTTAGCGGGAACCGAACCCAGGTCTCTCTGGACCGCAGGCCGATGCTCTAACCGCTGAGCCAAACTGGCCAGGGCTGGTGGATTCTTCTTTAACTGGGTTATTGAATGTTCTGGTATGTCATTTTGTGGTCTTTACATCTGAATTTATAAATATTGCTGGTTTATAATGGCCACTTTTTTGGTCTAGCACACTTAGGATTTTTATACACGTTTTTAAAGAAACATTTTAAACATACTCCTCCTCTTCATCAGTGGTAAAGAGATTCAACCGGAATCCTGGCTCAGGGCCACTGAGTTTCTTAATTTCCATTCCTCCCATCAGCTTCGCCAAGAAATTCAGCTCTTCTTTAGCAAGAGGGTTTGGAGCAATGCTTTGCTGCAGAAAAAAATGTCATGATTTTTAGCCACATGAAAGTGATCATACTTCCTGCTGAGACCCAGAGACCCAGGGTGGTAATATAAAACAAGGCAAAGCAATAATTTTAAATTATTTCTGGGAAGAACTGGGTGCAAATAAAGCATAGAAAAACAGGCTTAACCGAAAGAGAGAACCTGCGTCAGAAGCAGAAGGACTCTAGCAGGGCAGCAAAGCAGAGATTTTCACACGTTCAAGATGAGTGGAAGGCCCCAGGGATCCCCGCTGTCCTCAAACTACCTTCCTCCTTGAAGGAGAAGAACATTGCTTCCTTCCTCTTCAGTCAGCTTGGTTCCCTTCCCTCCAACTGAAGGCTCCAGGTCCAAGGGCATTCATTCCATAGGAGCTACCACACTGCCCTCTGGTGGTGGCCATCGCCAACACACCCAGAATCCATTCACTCCTCTCAGTCTCGCCCGCTTGAACCTCCTCCCCTTCCAACATGGCTCTCTAACCCAGCCTTCCCCTCCTCTGCTCTTCCATCACTGTGCCGCCAGTAATCTAAAATACAGTTCTCACCTCTCTTTTCCCTTGCTTGCAATAAACCCCTCTGCCTCCTACCTGGAGGACAAAGTCCACATTGTTTAAGCCCTTTCCTAATCAGGCCCCAGTGTTTCTGTACAGCCAATCTCTGGCTACCTGCCTCAGCTGGGCCTTGATCTAGTCATGTGAGAGAGACCTGCCTCCCTGCTTCCCCCAAACACTCTGCTCTCCTGCCCCTCGGTGCCTTTACTCAAACTGTCACCTTGGTCTGCACGCTCACTTCGCCTTCTCAACAACTCCACTTGAATGTCACCTCCTCTGAAAAGGCTTCCCGATCACCGTGCCCTGCCCCCAGCCCACTGGACAGAGCACGTGTTCTTCTGCACAGGCCTTTGTTCAGAATACCCAGTGAGCTCTGCTTCCCCCGTGTTCGTTATTTGTTTCTGTCTCTGTCTTCCCAGAGTACCAGACACCCCTTCAGGATGAGACCACACCTGGCACCCAGCCCATAGAAGTAGTTCAGTGAGTGTTTGCTGAATAACTGAGTATTCATGATTTGGCCTGTAGCTAGCTGGTGGCTAGTACAGTGCAATTGGTAAAGATGCATTCAGAGAACCTAAAACCATTTTGAACTTAGCTATCATTACATAGGGAAGCAGTGAAAAGGGATGTTTTAATGGTCAGGACACACACGGGTGCTGGAGTCAGCAACCATGAACCTAATGGCACAGGTATAATGTTAATTTCACATGGCCTGCTGTGTGGTTCCCACTTAATTATGGTGATTGAGCCAAGCCTAAAATTACCTAATTAGTCAGATCACTGGAGGTCTCCATGGGAAACTACAATTAAAAACCTTTGTACTTAAAGGCTGAATCAAGAAGATTGCAAACAATGAGGGAAATGTTGGCTAGCTTTGAAATCTAGAGTTCCCACCATTTTTCCACATCTGGGCTCTGTATCTAGAAATAAGCTCAAGAGATAAGTATGGGAGGCAGAGGCTCACCTGTGTCTGTGAAGTTAAGTTCTTTGATGTTCCAGATGTATGGGTTTCCACAGGCCGGTTCACACTGTACCTGGTTGTCAACAGAAAACTATGAAAACATTGTCCAGCCCTTTACACTGACTTCCTTCGAACCCCTCAATCTAGTTCACAGCTTTTATTTTGAGATGTTTAAAAGCACCCAGAGCCCTGGCCGGTTTGGCTCAGCGGTTAGAGCGTCGGCCTGCGGTCCGGAGAGACCTGGGTTCGGTTCCCGCTAAGGGCATGTACCTCGGTTGCAGTTTGTCCCCGGCCCTGGTTGGTCGTGCGGGTGGCAGCCACTCGATGTGTCCCTTTCACATCGATGTTTCTCTCTCTCTCTCTCCCTCCTGCTCTATCTGAACAAAGAATGAAAAAGTGTCCTTGGGTGAGGATAAAAAAATAAATAAATAAAAATAAAAGCACCCAGAAAGGTGCTGGGAGTAAAGACTATAACTAAGTGCTTGTCAATTGCTCAAATGTCACTTCTTCTAGAAGAAAAATACCTGGGAAGCTGTGTGTCAGTGCCTCGCCTTTCTGCATGTCCACGGCCACTTTAAATGATCTTTTAAACCTGTAGAATTACCTTATGTTTGGAAATCTTAGGTGCCCTTCGAAAGTGGCAGGGCTGCCCGGCTTGTGTGGCTCAGTGGTTGAGCATCAACCCATGCACCAAGAGGTCATCGGTTTGATTCTGGTCCAGGGCACATGCCCAGGTTGTGGACCAAATCCCCAGTGTGGAGAGTGCAGGAGGCGGCCAGTCGATGTTTCTATCTCTCTCCCTTTCCCTTCCTCTCTCTCTAAAATCAATGAAGAAGAAGAAAAAAAAGAAGTTGCAGGGCTGCACGCATTGTGTCTGAGGTGAAATCACTCCAATTGTCAGCTGGATTTAAATGAAGTGACTCCCCCCGCCCCCGGATTTGAATCCATTTGGGAGGGAGAACCTGCTTACATGTTAGTTCCCAGTTTCAGGACTCGGTCTCCATAAACTTCAAAAGAACCTTCCTTTGGTGCGGTGACGAAGTTTCCACCGTGCTGGAATTCCTCCCTCCTCACTTCGTCGCCTTTGTTGTTGAACATTCTGCAATACAAGGAATGACGTAATGGAATGTTCCCAAACTCGGGTAGCCCTGGAGGCGTCTTTATTCTTTGTACTATGGGACAAAAAGGAATTCATGTCTTCTTTCAAGATAAAGGTGCCAATTGTGGTAATAATAATGGCACAATGACATGTATTGAGTGCATGCTCTGTGCCGGGTGCTATGTAAGCACTGGAGAGCATAATTCTCGTCTTCATCCTCAGGTCTGGGAAAACAAATGATGAGCCCACTTCCTCGCTGAGGAAATGAGAGCCGGAGAACTGGGTGGTTTGCTGTGTCTGCTAAGTGGCAGAGCTGGGATTAGAACCCGACCTCCTAACTGCTGTACTTTGCTAAAGAAAGGAAGTGCCCACCCAGCTGCATTCTGTGCGGTGGCCCACATTCTGGTTTCCCGGGACCCCAAACACCGGTCTGACAATTATTGTTGAGAATTCACCTGATGAGTCCAGGAACTTCAGTTCCCCAGGGAACAGGCCCAGACACTGGCAACACAAAGCGACCATTAGAATTCTGAACTTTGTCCTTTAGAAATATGGACACCTGGAAAAAAAAATACACTTACTGTCATTTTTTTTCTGGGCATATGTTCATAGACATAAGCACTGTGAGGATGGAAAGTGTGCAATGCGTTGGGAATGCTACCTAGTGAGTTTATAACAGTGAGCGAACACCTGCAGAGTTATCGTGTTTTCACCAACAGAACTTCTTTTGAGCCTCAGCAAACCTCCTATGTGAGGTCTATTATACCCCGTTTTAAAGATGAGAAAGCTGAGGGTCACTGAATAAAGTGACTTGCCCAGAGAGATTCAACACCAGGCTGACTCCAAATTCCACACCCATCCCTTGGTTCCCTGCTAACTTTCCATATAGCTGCACGGCTTGGGCTGTTAGAACCTCGTTATTCCGTGTTACAGAGGAGGAATCAACAGCGCAGAGGTTAAGACAGCAGAGGTCAAGGCCAGCCAGCTCACAGGGGCAGAGCTGAGGACTCAAACCCACCCTGGGTTTCTGCCTCTGGAGCATGAACTCTTAGCCACCTGCTGGACTGGTGAGAAGGGGCGGGAGTAGGTGCATCCAGATGGCAGTTGTCTGAGGTCTTCTATGTGACTGAAAACACCATACATGCTTATTTCTACTCCCGGGTTTGTGCACTCTGTATTGAGGTCTTGGTTAGACTAATCCCATAAATATTGTAGCAGTTAATCAGTTTTGTTGGATCTTAGCTTCATCACCTGTGAAATGAGATGAACTTGAAAGTCTCTTCAAACTCTAAGATTCTACAAGATGGTATTTTTTTTTTTTTTATCCTCACCTGAGGACATTTTTTCACTTTTTGTACAGACAGAGTGGGAGGGAGAGAGAGGAACACAGAGAAAGAAACATCGATGTGAAAGGGACACATCAGGTGGCTGCCACCTGCATGACCAACCAGGGCTGGAGACAAACTGCAACCGAGGTACGCGCCCTTAGTGGAAACCGAACCCGGGTCTCTCTGGACCGCAGGCTGATGCTCTAACCGCTGAGCCAAAACGGCCAGGGCCAAGATTGTATTTGTAATATCATCAAGGATATCATGTGCCAGGCTGTGAAAATACAAAGTGACAAGAATTTGTAAGCTACCAGTTTAGCCTTTTGACGGCAGACTTGTCTAGGGTCCATCTCAGTCGGGCCACTCCTCAGCTCCTGGTTTTTGGTAAGTTACATCCTTTTCTTGTGCATCAATTTTCTTTTTGGTAAATGGGGGGTAATGATAGTACCTATTCAATGGGTTAATGTGACAAACCAGATAATGGACAAAAAGCATTTATCACAGAGGCTGACACATAATAAGTGCTCAGTAAATTACGATACTCTTAGGACTGCAGCTAACTGTTGATAGGACAAGCATAAACTGGGGGAAATGACATTGTAAAGCAGGAAATGCTGATTGGCTGATGCGTGTTCATCCACTGAGGAGGATGACTGCAGGTGTGGAGGTGGCGAGGGGTGACTGGGTTTGGAGCTGGGCCTGGAGGAAGAAGGTGGTGTGAAGACACTACAGAAACAGAGATAGGCAGACACAAAGCATGTTTTGTAGGGAATGTGTAAACTGGTTTGCTCAGAGGGTTTGGCTGAATGACCTTGAAGGGATTTTTAACCTTGAGATTCTGTGAACTTGAGATTCTGCGGCCAAGGGATGTGAATACAGGCATGGAGAAAGAAAATTTGGACAGTTGGGAACACACACACACACACACACACACACGCCAGACGTTTTATTAGCCTAATTCTAATAACTTACAAACTTAAGTGTGTGTTTGTGTCTGACCTGAGAGTCTGCCCTTGGCTGGACAGGACCGTTGGGTCTGTCTGCTTGCCTAGACCCTCTGATGGCCCTTAGCTACAGATGTGACTCTCCCATGCCCATTTTCTCTCGATCCATCCTTTTTTAACCCAGGGGATCTCATCTACTCACAAACACCAGTCTTCACCTTGTGCTTATGGCCCCCAGATCTCCAGCTCCCATTTAGCCTTGACCCTGCCCAGCTGACCCATCGATCCATTGTGTATTAAGACACGTTCACCTATCGGTTTCATGGAATGCCCCTCAACTCACCCTGTTCAGAACAAGCCTCATCATTTGTTTTCCCAGACCTGATCCTCCTCTGATATTCCCAATCTCAGCGAATGACACCGCCGGGTCACTGAATCAGCCATCGGAGTTCCCCGGCCCACCACCTTCCCATGTCTGTTCAGTCGCCAAGCCCTGCCGACTCACTCCTGGTATCTGGCCCCTCCTCCACCCTGCTCCCTAGGGCTGACCCTCATCATCTCCTGCCCAGCCACTGCAGGAGCCTCCTAACTGGTCTCCCTGCCTCCCCTCGCACTTGTTTGGATCCACCCTCCAGTCTGCCGCTAAATGAACTCTTCTAAATGTACATCTGAATGTCCCTCTTTCGCTTCAGTGGCTCTCTGCTGCCTGCCAGATAATATCCAGCTGCCCCCTGATCTTCTCTGCAGCACGTTCCTCCTTGAATCCCATGCTTCAGCCACACTCAACTGCCTGCAGCATATTCAACTGCCCATTTGATAGCGCTACTTGCACGCCTAAGAGGCACTGCAGTTGCTCAGGACAAAAGCTTAGTAGTTGCTCTTCATTCTTCTTTCCCTCATTCCCCTCATCTGATCTGTTAGTAAGTCTTATTCATCTTGCCCTGAAGGTATGTCCCAAATGTGAACACGTTTCTCTGTCTTTGCTGGTAGCACCTAATGCAAGTACTTTCATTTTTTACCTGATTTCTGCAATAGTTTCCCAACTGCTGTCCTGCCTTTACCTGATCTCACATAGTTCATCTTCCAGTACACAAATCAGATGACCCTATAACGCTTCAAATCTTTTCTTTACTCTTAGAATAGACTCCTTACTAGGGTCCAAAGTGAAGTCAACTGGTTCGTACCAGTTTCTCTATAACTGGTATCTTCCATGCCGAGCCAGTGCCCGTGTGGCACAACTTGTAAATGTGGAGTCACTCCTGCCTTGACATGCTTCGTTCACACTGGCTTTCTCTTCGTCCAAGGAACGCTTTATGCTTTTCCCGTCCGAGGGCCTTCGAACTAGCTGTCACCTCCGTTTAGATGCCCTTCCCTGAGATCTGTTAGTTACATTCTCCACCGAAACGCCTGTCCTCAGAAAGGCTGTAATCGACTCTCTCATCGAAGGGTATGCTATCCAGTACAGTAACTAGTAGTCAAGTGTGGCTATTTAAATTTAAATTCAATTAAAATTTCAGTTTCTCTGTCACACCAGCCATGTTTCAAGCGCTCAACAGCCACACGTGGCGAGCGGCTGTCACGCTGCACAGCACGGCGCAGGACGTTTCCGTCACAGCAGAAGGCTCTGTCGGACGTGCTGGTCTGGTGCCATCCCGCCTAGTCGTCCTCTACATCTGTATCTTACTCTGCCGTCTTCCCGAAAGTTATCAGAACCAGAGCATGGCTGATGTGTCCTCTGCCTCTTCCTACTAGCAGGGAACCTCCTCAAGGCAGGGCCCCCTGTTCACTAACATGGGAGTGTGTCTCCAACACTGAACACAGTGCCTGGCATAGAGCAGGCACTCAGCAGATATTTCTTAGGCTAGTTTCCCAGGGATGAAACACGTCCAAGTGGAGTGGATAGTGGAGTGGTGCAAGGAACCGTCTATGAGGAGGTGAAGATGGAGTGATGTTTTCCAACACCTGAGACGAGGGAGAGAACGCGAGGACAGTGCACGATGGAGGAGCGCGTGAGTGGAAGTGAGAGGACAGGACAGGGCGGGGACCTGAGGGACCACCCTTTAGGAGGCATCTCTGGAGGAGCTCTGGGAGGCTGAAAGGGGAAACCGAGAAGGCTGTAAGTGACTGCTCGGATCCCAGACGGAATTGGCCTTTGGGCAGTCTCTCGGGCTTGGTCCGGAGAGCAGTCAGGCCCTTGACTGCGTTAAGAGCGCTTCAGGTGTTTTGTGATATCACAGAAAGCTTTGGATAGCACGCGAGGAGTTTTGGTTAACAATGAGCAAGGAAATGAAATGTTTTTCTTCATTTAGTTAACTGGTTTTGTTAGCAAATCTAAAAACTATCAAGACTGTGTTGCAAACAGAGAAAATCTGTAAAAGCAATCACAAATCGCAGCCGAGCAGAAATACCACTAGAGACCGGACTTGGAAAACCAGCCACATGCTACAGATCAGTGCTGGGCACTGCCAGGAGGTGGGGCCCTCTCTCTCCTGATGAACATTCTGATGGTTTATTGCCCATTTAGCAATTAAAGCTTAATATATTTTGTGGTTTAATATATTTTGATGATTTTGTTATAGAATTATTATTAGAAGGGTCTTTTCATTATAATGAATTTTATTGTGTTGGACTTGAGAAATTATTAAGGCTATTTATGTTACTACGATTCATAAAATAACATCCAAATATGCACAGTTTTGATAACATGATGTGTGTATATCTATATTTATCTATCTATCTACCTACCTACCTACCTACCTACCTATATATATATTTTTTTTGTTGTTTGTTTGTTTGTTTTAAATTCTCACGGAGGATATTTTTCCAGTTTTTTTTTTTTTAGATCGGGTGGGAGGGAGGGAGAGAGAGGGAGAGAAGGAAACAGAGGGAAACATGGATGTGAGAGAGATAAACCAACTAGCTGCCTCCTGCACAACCCAAACCAGGGCTGGGGACAGACTGCAACCAAGGTATGAGCCCTTGACCAGAATCAAACCCGTGACTCATTGGTCCATGGGCCGACGCTCTAACTGCTGAGCCAAACTGACCAGAGCTTTTCATCTCATTTATCTTTAGGTAGAGTGGGAGGAAGGGGGAAGAAGGGGGGGAGAGAGAGAGAGAGAGAGAGAGAGAGAGAGAGAGAGAGAAACATCGATGTGAGAGAGACACACTGACTGGCTGCCTCCTGCACAACCCTGACCAGGGCTGGGGATCCAACTGCAACCCAGGTACATGACCTTGACCAGAATCGAACTCATGACTCTTCAGTCTGTGGGCCGGTGCTCTAA